CTCCATAACACCTCGGATAAATTTGTAATTAACATTCAATTATAATTGTTACTTAAACAGCATCATATGGCCCGTCAAGCCCATGAAGTGATACACTGTTCATTAACTTTTAAGTAAGTTTCTATAGGGTAAAAGTTTTAGTCCAAAATGATTGATTGCTTAATTTACTAGTGGTACAGTTGTAGTAAGTGTTACTGATTAAAAAAAAAACAGCCTGATAAAAATGTCAAGTGGAGTTTTTTCTTAAAAAAAATAATCAGTCTAAAGAATTTCTTGAATTTAAAATTTGAGAAACATGTAAAAGAAAAAATTCATTTTATCAATTGGTAAGCTTTTAAAATAGAAAAAAAATATTCTGATGACTAATCTATCCTATTCTCGCATCTTTTCTCCAGTACATCTTCCGAGGAAATGAAATTTTATACATAAGTTGCTGAGAGTTCCCGTCTGTATTCAAGTTCTTATCTGTCAGTCAAGATCAAGGTTCCTGAGTAGCATTATTATATATGCATATTAGTTCGCGAAATAGCGCGAAAGTTACGCGTTATATCGCGAAAATTCCGCGTTACAACGCGAAAGTTACGCGTTTATATCGCGAAAGTTTCGCGTAATATTGCGAAAGCTACGCATTTATTCGCGAAAGTTTCGCGTTATAACGCGAAAGTTACGCGTTATTTCGCGAAAGTTTCGCGTCATATCGCGAAAGTTACGCGTTATATCGCGAAAGTTTCGCGTTATAACGCGAAAGTTACGCGTTTATTCGCGAAAGTTTTTCCTTTTTATCGCGAAAGTTAAGCGTTTATTCGCGAAAGTTTCGCGTTATAACGCGAATTTTTTTTTTACCTACCAAAATGAGCTAAATGGGCTTTCATAGTATACTAATGTCGTTTAAAAGCAGCAATGATTAAAAAAAAAATCATATTAGGTTAAAAATTTATTACAGAAAAAACAAGCAAATTCAAGTAATTGTGGTCCCCCGCTTTCGGTGACTTTGTGGGTGAGATGTCATATTTATGACATATTATGTGTAATTAGTCAGCCCCCGGGCTGACTAGTTACGTTAGGATGAAACTGCAAGTGCGCTTGCGTTAATCGGAATTCTGGGAAAAAGATTTGCACAATTTTTTCCAACCAGGGGACGTGCTTCTAGGTATCACACCGGTAATTGACCAATCAAAATGAACTTAGTCAAATGTAGGTCCATATATATAGAATTAATTTTCTTTTCTTTTGAGGCGTTTTTCTATTTTCTTCCATGCCACTTTTACAACTTTGGTACCTGTGCCTAGTAAATTTTATGTACTTTGTGAATAAATAAAGGTTTTGGACAGGAACTATTTTTTTCATGGCATAGGAGGCTACTTCCTGTAGTGCACTCGAGGTGTTTATAAACACAGTGAAAACACGTGGATTTGAGGGTAGCCCTGTTTGCAGATGGAAAAAGTCCGAAAATGCCGTGTGGGTACCCTGTTTTTTGGTGTCAGCTAATGTGGCAGGTAATGTTTAACACCTTCTGCTAAATATTTTTTCATGTAAACAAATACCTGATTTTTAACGATTTTTTATTCTATATAGAATTATATAGTGAAAACAATTACCGGTGTGATACCTTGAAGGTGATTGTGAAAAATCATTTTAATCCTTATTAAAGACATTTTTCATTTTTAAAAGGCATATTTCAACAAAATATGTGATTTTATTAACTTTTTGTTGGAAAACACACAATTTTAAAATTAGAATTAGAATTTACATTATTTTTCACAGATTTCTGTTTAAAAATTAACAATAGGTTATATTTTACACTCAATACTTTAAAATATGACTAAAAAGGTAGCATTATGCATCTAAAATGTGGAAAGAAGTCAGAGAATATTGTTTTTTCATTTTATATGACTTAACATTATTTGCACCAGCTGACCGCAGTCAATTATAGTGTCTACAGACTTTGCGGTAAAGGGTGTTAAAGCTGATTTTTCAAGAATAGACTAATTCTAGGTTTGCGAATGAATTTTTAGCATAAGCGACAACTGCGATAAAATGTAAACAAGTAAAAATGTTTTCACAGAATGATAATTTCTACAGAAACATGATTTATTTTAATTTATTCAGACCTCCAGTGATACATACATTACTGCATTGGAAGAACAGAAATAATGAAATGAGTCAGATCTGTCTAATAAACTTAATACATAAGCTACATTAGTAAAATTCATTAAGAATTTATCAAAGTAAGGAAGGTTATGACCAAAAAATCCTGAAATACTGTCAAGGTCTGCATGATAATACTTATTCTGAGTTCTAACCATGCATCATACATGTAGTGCAGAATGTCACTTAGCAGCATGGCATGCCTTTTGTGGTTCTAAGGACTTTATTTATGCTTTCGCAGCTGACATTCATGTTTTTTCAGTTTGTCGGAGACTGTTTTTTGTTATTTTTTCATTTATATGTAGGTGTTGACTGTCACTTTTGAATTAACTCTCAGTCAGTGATGCTTATATGAGCATGATCTACTAAGTATATCATTGTACTGAAATATTAATAAATTCCAAATTGAACTGATGAAGAAATTTGGCATATTTACATAATTGAAATATCAGAATAACTATAATTCAGCTAATAAGGTGCACATTTCTTCTCAGATCACTTCCTATAAATTTTATCAACAGTTTTGGTACACCCACCCACCTCAAAGAATCATGGAGGATGTCCTGAATCTGGTCTCTGTGATGCATTTTGTCTCATAGAAAAGTGTTCAAACTCATTAAAATGTTTAATATTTATATTTTAAAATCTAAATGTTCATTTTTTTATGTAAATTTGTTGAAACAAAAAGATATAATCTGGCATAAATCATGGAAATTCATTAAACACCTTTGGAATTCCTGAATAAATCCATGAAAAGAGAATAATTATGCATGTTAAATTGAAATTTCATGGCTAATTTGTGTCTTAAGAGAAAGCCAGTTGCATAAATCACAACAATAAATTACATCTGAATTGTTGTCTCCAGGTTCTTATCATCAAAGCCAGTTTAATGGAGTGTGGGAGCTGTGAAGAACCTCCCTAGATGCTGATATCATTTTGACTGCCCTGAGTTACAACACAGCATTTAGATAAACTTCTGCACAGCAGCTTGTAGACACATACCTGGGCTTTATTTGGAACATAAATTGACCAGATACAGTGTTCATTATCAACCCAGTATTTAACAATTTCTGTATTTTTGTTCATTCTTTGAAGGGGAAAATGCAACTTTGTTATGTAATAATTACATAATGGTCTTAGACTTGTAAACTCTTTTCTGTTTGTGGTGAAGAACAAAGCATATACTCTCCACGGATAAAAAATTGGTTGCCAAGCTTATTCTTTTAATGGTGAAATTCTGCTTCAAAAGATGCACAAAAAACTGCTTCCAGAGTGCTGTGTGTGTTGTTCTTGACTGCTCTGGAGTAAGGGAGATAAATGCTTCATATCTTCAGAAATAAGGGGATTTAGATCACCAGACTTAGGGATGTTGGGGACAATTATTTCATGAATCTCAGGTGCAAAAATGGAAAAAATCGAACACCTTCAAAGGTCCTTCAAGGTATCACACCGGTAATTGACCAATCAAAATGAACTTAGTCAAATGTAGGTCCATATATATAGAATTAATTTTCTTTTCTTTTGAGGCGTTTTTCTATTTTCTTCCATGCCACTTTTACAACTTTGGTACCTGTGCCTAGTAAATTTTATGTACTTTGTGAATAAATAAAGGTTTTGGACAGGAACTATTTTTTTCATGGCATAGGAGGCTACTTCCTGTAGTGCACTCGAGGTGTTTATAAACACAGTGAAAACACGTGGATTTGAGGGTAGCCCTGTTTGCAGATGGAAAAAGTCCGAAAATGCCGTGTGGGTACCCTGTTTTTTGGTGTCAGCTAATGTGGCAGGTAATGTTTAACACCTTCTGCTAAATATTTTTTCATGTAAACAAATACCTGATTTTTAACGATTTTTTATTCTATATAGAATTATATAGTGAAAACAATTACCGGTGTGATACCTTGAAGGTGATTGTGAAAAATCATTTTAATCCTTATTAAAGACATTTTTCATTTTTAAAAGGCATATTTCAACAAAATATGTGATTTTATTAACTTTTTGTTGGAAAACACACAATTTTAAAATTAGAATTAGAATTTACATTATTTTTCACAGATTTCTGTTTAAAAATTAACAATAGGTTATATTTTACACTCAATACTTTAAAATATGACTAAAAAGGTAGCATTATGCATCTAAAATGTGGAAAGAAGTCAGAGAATATTGTTTTTTCATTTTATATGACTTAACATTATTTGCACCAGCTGACCGCAGTCAATTATAGTGTCTACAGACTTTGCGGTAAAGGGTGTTAAAGCTGATTTTTCAAGAATAGACTAATTCTAGGTTTGCGAATGAATTTTTAGCATAAGCGACAACTGCGATAAAATGTAAACAAGTAAAAATGTTTTCACAGAATGATAATTTCTACAGAAACATGATTTATTTTAATTTATTCAGACCTCCAGTGATACATACATTACTGCATTGGAAGAACAGAAATAATGAAATGAGTCAGATCTGTCTAATAAACTTAATACATAAGCTACATTAGTAAAATTCATTAAGAATTTATCAAAGTAAGGAAGGTTATGACCAAAAAATCCTGAAATACTGTCAAGGTCTGCATGATAATACTTATTCTGAGTTCTAACCATGCATCATACATGTAGTGCAGAATGTCACTTAGCAGCATGGCATGCCTTTTGTGGTTCTAAGGACTTTATTTATGCTTTCGCAGCTGACATTCATGTTTTTTCAGTTTGTCGGAGACTGTTTTTTGTTATTTTTTCATTTATATGTAGGTGTTGACTGTCACTTTTGAATTAACTCTCAGTCAGTGATGCTTATATGAGCATGATCTACTAAGTATATCATTGTACTGAAATATTAATAAATTCCAAATTGAACTGATGAAGAAATTTGGCATATTTACATAATTGAAATATCAGAATAACTATAATTCAGCTAATAAGGTGCACATTTCTTCTCAGATCACTTCCTATAAATTTTATCAACAGTTTTGGTACACCCACCCACCTCAAAGAATCATGAAGGATGTCCTGAATCTGGTCTCTGTGATGCATTTTGTCTCATAGAAAAGTGTTCAAACTCATTAAAATGTTTAATATTTATATTTTAAAATCTAAATGTTCATTTTTTTATGTAAATTTGTTGAAACAAAAAGATATAATCTGGCATAAATCATGGAAATTCATTAAACACCTTTGGAATTCCTGAATAAATCCATGAAAAGAGAATAATTATGCATGTTAAATTGAAATTTCATGGCTAATTTGTGTCTTAAGAGAAAGCCAGTTGCATAAATCACAACAATAAATTACATCTGAATTGTTGTCTCCAGGTTCTTATCATCAAAGCCAGTTTAATGGAGTGTGGGAGCTGTGAAGAACCTCCCTAGATGCTGATATCATTTTGACTGCCCTGAGTTACAACACAGCATTTAGATAAACTTCTGCACAGCAGCTTGTAGACACATACCTGGGCTTTATTTGGAACATAAATTGACCAGATACAGTGTTCATTATCAACCCAGTATTTAACAATTTCTGTATTTTTGTTCATTCTTTGAAGGGGAAAATGCAACTTTGTTATGTAATAATTACATAATGGTCTTAGACTTGTAAACTCTTTTCTGTTTGTGGTGAAGAACAAAGCATATACTCTCCACGGATAAAAAATTGGTTGCCAAGCTTATTCTTTTAATGGTGAAATTCTGCTTCAAAAGATGCACAAAAAACTGCTTCCAGAGTGCTGTGTGTGTTGTTCTTGACTGCTCTGGAGTAAGGGAGATAAATGCTTCATATCTTCAGAAATAAGGGGATTTAGATCACCAGACTTAGGGATGTTGGGGACAATTATTTCATGAATCTCAGGTGCAAAAATGGAAAAAATCGAACACCTTCAAAGGTCCTTCAAGGTATCACACCGGTAATTGACCAATCAAAATGAACTTAGTCAAATGTAGGTCCATATATATAGAATTAATTTTCTTTTCTTTTGAGGCGTTTTTCTATTTTCTTCCATGCCACTTTTACAACTTTGGTACCTGTGCCTAGTAAATTTTATGTACTTTGTGAATAAATAAAGGTTTTGGACAGGAACTATTTTTTTCATGGCATAGGAGGCTACTTCCTGTAGTGCACTCGAGGTGTTTATAAACACAGTGAAAACACGTGGATTTGAGGGTAGCCCTGTTTGCAGATGGAAAAAGTCCGAAAATGCCGTGTGGGTACCCTGTTTTTTGGTGTCAGCTAATGTGGCAGGTAATGTTTAACACCTTCTGCTAAATATTTTTTCATGTAAACAAATACCTGATTTTTAACGATTTTTTATTCTATATAGAATTATATAGTGAAAACAATTACCGGTGTGATACCTTGAAGGTGATTGTGAAAAATCATTTTAATCCTTATTAAAGACATTTTTCATTTTTAAAAGGCATATTTCAACAAAATATGTGATTTTATTAACTTTTTGTTGGAAAACACACAATTTTAAAATTAGAATTAGAATTTACATTATTTTTCACAGATTTCTGTTTAAAAATTAACAATAGGTTATATTTTACACTCAATACTTTAAAATATGACTAAAAAGGTAGCATTATGCATCTAAAATGTGGAAAGAAGTCAGAGAATATTGTTTTTTCATTTTATATGACTTAACATTATTTGCACCAGCTGACCGCAGTCAATTATAGTGTCTACAGACTTTGCGGTAAAGGGTGTTAAAGCTGATTTTTCAAGAATAGACTAATTCTAGGTTTGCGAATGAATTTTTAGCATAAGCGACAACTGCGATAAAATGTAAACAAGTAAAAATGTTTTCACAGAATGATAATTTCTACAGAAACATGATTTATTTTAATTTATTCAGACCTCCAGTGATACATACATTACTGCATTGGAAGAACAGAAATAATGAAATGAGTCAGATCTGTCTAATAAACTTAATACATAAGCTACATTAGTAAAATTCATTAAGAATTTATCAAAGTAAGGAAGGTTATGACCAAAAAATCCTGAAATACTGTCAAGGTCTGCATGATAATACTTATTCTGAGTTCTAACCATGCATCATACATGTAGTGCAGAATGTCACTTAGCAGCATGGCATGCCTTTTGTGGTTCTAAGGACTTTATTTATGCTTTCGCAGCTGACATTCATGTTTTTTCAGTTTGTCGGAGACTGTTTTTTGTTATTTTTTCATTTATATGTAGGTGTTGACTGTCACTTTTGAATTAACTCTCAGTCAGTGATGCTTATATGAGCATGATCTACTAAGTATATCATTGTACTGAAATATTAATAAATTCCAAATTGAACTGATGAAGAAATTTGGCATATTTACATAATTGAAATATCAGAATAACTATAATTCAGCTAATAAGGTGCACATTTCTTCTCAGATCACTTCCTATAAATTTTATCAACAGTTTTGGTACACCCACCCACCTCAAAGAATCATGAAGGATGTCCTGAATCTGGTCTCTGTGATGCATTTTGTCTCATAGAAAAGTGTTCAAACTCATTAAAATGTTTAATATTTATATTTTAAAATCTAAATGTTCATTTTTTTATGTAAATTTGTTGAAACAAAAAGATATAATCTGGCATAAATCATGGAAATTCATTAAACACCTTTGGAATTCCTGAATAAATCCATGAAAAGAGAATAATTATGCATGTTAAATTGAAATTTCATGGCTAATTTGTGTCTTAAGAGAAAGCCAGTTGCATAAATCACAACAATAAATTACATCTGAATTGTTGTCTCCAGGTTCTTATCATCAAAGCCAGTTTAATGGAGTGTGGGAGCTGTGAAGAACCTCCCTAGATGCTGATATCATTTTGACTGCCCTGAGTTACAACACAGCATTTAGATAAACTTCTGCACAGCAGCTTGTAGACACATACCTGGGCTTTATTTGGAACATAAATTGACCAGATACAGTGTTCATTATCAACCCAGTATTTAACAATTTCTGTATTTTTGTTCATTCTTTGAAGGGGAAAATGCAACTTTGTTATGTAATAATTACATAATGGTCTTAGACTTGTAAACTCTTTTCTGTTTGTGGTGAAGAACAAAGCATATACTCTCCACGGATAAAAAATTGGTTGCCAAGCTTATTCTTTTAATGGTGAAATTCTGCTTCAAAAGATGCACAAAAAACTGCTTCCAGAGTGCTGTGTGTGTTGTTCTTGACTGCTCTGGAGTAAGGGAGATAAATGCTTCATATCTTCAGAAATAAGGGGATTTAGATCACCAGACTTAGGGATGTTGGGGACAATTATTTCATGAATCTCAGGTGCAAAAATGGAAAAAATCGAACACCTTCAAAGGTCCTTCAAGGTATCACACCGGTAATTGACCAATCAAAATGAACTTAGTCAAATGATCACTTCCTATAAATTTTATCAACAGAGGTCCATATATATAGAATTAATTTTCTTTTCTTTTGAGGCGTTTTTCTATTTTCTTCCATGCCACTTTTACAACTTTGGTACCTGTGCCTAGTAAATTTTATGTACTTTGTGAATAAATAAAGGTTTTGGACAGGAACTATTTTTTTCATGGCATAGGAGGCTACTTCCTGTAGTGCACTCGAGGTGTTTATAAACACAGTGAAAACACGTGGATTTGAGGGTAGCCCTGTTTGCAGATGGAAAAAGTCCGAAAATGCCGTGTGGGTACCCTGTTTTTTGGTGTCAGCTAATGTGGCAGGTAATGTTTAACACCTTCTGCTAAATATTTTTTCATGTAAACAAATACCTGATTTTTAACGATTTTTTATTCTATATAGAATTATATAGTGAAAACAATTACCGGTGTGATACCTTCTACACGCACACACGACCTCGATCTATTTATAGACTGCATTGTTCTTCGTCGTTCTCGACGAAAATTTATGACATAGACTATTCAGCTTCTAGATGGGATATTTGTCAGTTTATAAATGAAACTATGAAAATATTTCTTTGCTTCTAATAGATGATTACATTTATTCCCTCAATCGCAATTGCAAGCCGAAGATTTAAATTGTGTATTCCTCTAGATGCCTGATGCGAGACTCCCTCGATACCTGGCTTGCATAAGACATGTACGGGTCGGAATTCACACAACAATCCACTTGCCACAAAGGTCCTAAAATAGTATAAAAAAAAAAAAAAAAGATCAATTTCTCTTCACTCTAATGATGGAAGTTATGAAAACATCAGCTAGAAGACCACTGTAAGACAGAAAATTCTTATAATTTACATGATGATAGACGTGTAAGTGCCGCTTGTGCACGTGAACCGCGCCCACATGTGAGACCACAGTGGAAATGCGATAGCTGAGAGAACTGTGCTGATTTATAGACTGGGTCAACACCCCCCCCCCCAATGAAAGGAGAGAGGGGGAATGGATTCCAGTTTTTTAATCTATAGTTTTGCTATGATGGTAGACATCATCAAAGACATTTTGTGTACATGTATACGTACTGCATGTATAAACATATTTTGAATTTAAAATTGTTTTCTGTGGCGTTCATTACTTTTCTGGAAGGAATTCTTTTCTTTCCTAATAACACTAAAATGGATGCTCAAACTTAGAAATTAAATTAAATATAGATGCAGTATAGCCCCCCCCCCCCCTCATGCATTGCCTCGAAATGCACACAAATGAAAACTGTTATTTAATAATATTTAAAAACGATCTAACACAAAGTCTACCATCCTTTTATTCATCATAATCTGCATATCATTTTTATAGAATTTAACGTGATCTTAGTTGCCATGGTGGCATTTGTTCATTTACCAGTATAAGATGAACTTTCTCTGATGTCTGCGCCGAAGAGAATTTATTGGAGATCATTGTAATGGTCACGATGCAGAATTAAAAAAAAATTATTCTATGCTTTATTATTTATTATGTATGTGGCATTATGTTACAAATAAGAAAACGATTACACTAATTTAACTTTTCTAACAATGGCATTTATTACATTTAAGGAACACAACATGATGGATAGATCAAATCATATACCACTACAAAACAAGAAAGAAACTTTCTGTATTCCAGTGGCTGACTCTCAGCTTTTTTAAAAAAGCTAACCTTGTATGAACACCCTATCATATGTCATTTATTTAGAAACCATCACTAAACTCCAAGGACAAGGTGATAGGGTTGAAGTTCTTGGTATCCAATGAAAAGTCTTCTCACAAGGATTACATATGTGAAGTATGAAAACCCTAGCCCTTACCATTCAAATGTTATGGTCAAGGTTAAAGTTTTTTTCATATGTACGAAAAATCTCCAAGGTCAAGATGAAAAGGTCAGGTTGTTGATATCAAATAAAAAGTCTTTCCACAAAAATGATTTTTTGTATAACTATATAGTATGGGTATGGTTTTACATGTATCATTGTTGTCGTGTTTTTGCTTTGAAGAACCCGTGATTTTATTTTTTGATACACCAGAACTTCAGATTATCCGACTCGGAGGACATGCTTTCTTGTCTAGCGAAATATATTTCATTTATCGTCTTTTAGCAAATCACAAACAAACTATCGAGAAAATATTTATTTGATTAAAATGATTATTTCTTTTTATGTATCTTGGGAACCCCTTGTAAAATGATTAAGTTTCAAGTGAAGACCAACGAACTTTTCTTCAATTTCTGGCATATAAAACGGATTCGGTAGGGAAAGTCAGTGGTTTTCTCACTATAGCTTGTCAGAGGGGAAGCCTGGTCATGTCCTTCCGTAGGGGGGAGGTGTCAGTCAACATAAATTATATAACAATTATAACAGTATAACAAGTTTTCGGACGGGAGGGGGCTTCTCACTATTTGGGAATCTCACTTTATGGCTCCGGCCAATTAAAGCCGAATTGGCCCTCTGTGTATGAGATAAATTAATAGTAAAAAAAAAAGAAAAAAAGAAATTGATGAGTTATTTGATAATTGTAAGTTTCACGGCGCATCTTCCAATTATCATATGGAAAAATATTATATTTATTAGATATATTAAAATATTAAGTATTTTGCAACAGATCTCTGTACACTGTTTCCCAGCATACCTTTTTCAAATGAGTATAAACTATGTGTATACAATGAATACAATTTAGCAGTTCAAATAGCCGCCCCCCCCAAAAAAAAGTACTATGAGCACTGAGCTCCCTGAGTGATATCCCCCGCCTTTCATTTTTAAATTATAATGGCGATGTCCATGTTTTGCTCGTGTCAGATCAAAGAGTAAGATAGAAGGTGGACAGTGACATTGTTTAATAATCTTTGAAGGTATCATTTAATTTCATTCAATAGTAACTACAGGACGAGTTGCAGATAAGAAATGGATACCCTTCAATGCAATAGAAAGAATGGCAGTGTCCATGTTTTGGTATGGTAAACCCGAAATATGTGTCTGATTCAAAAGTAAAATTGAAGGTGCACAAAGACATTATGCATCGCCATATAACGGACGGACGGACATCTCGATCACTATATACCCTCCCACTTTTCAAGTTAAAGTATAATAAAAACGCGAATTAAAATAGCAGAGCTCATTATCCAACTGAACGGATTTATTCAATAATTTTTTTGAACTTTTCTAAGAAAATGTTAAAACATAAAATTGTCAGTAAAAACGGCACTGGAAAATCGTTAAATATCAGTTGTCGGCGCATGCTCGCATTTTTCTATAGGACAACCCCTTGTATTCTTCTTGAAAATATTTCGATTTGCTTCTTATTTCGTGTTGAATAATATTCAATCATTCCATCACTCGTTTTCGACGTCGTGTTCCCCAATTTGACCAATTACTCAAAGAATGAACATCTTCATCAGGATAGGGTTCAGGGTAAGGGTCAAAATCGTCTTCAGCATCTTTCCTGTCAACGTAATTGTTACCGCCATAACAATAAAATTTAAAATCATCGTCTTTTACAGGTTAATTATCATAGCTGTTGTCTGATTCAGAAGAAATATTCGCCATTTTCTTCTCCTTCTTTCTCTTTCTGTATTTCGTCTTTTTTATACCTAGAATGATAAAAAGATAACAGAAAAAAAGATGATACTAAAAAGGGTTTGGTAAGTAATCTGAAAGCTTTTATCAAGTTTTAACATTTCAAGAGGTAAGAAGTCTTATGACGTATTATAAATGGTATGTTTCAATAGTTTACAAGTTAATTCAGAGAACTCATGTCCCCCGCTAAAGGAAAAAAAGAAGAGTGACCCGGAGGCGGGGATCTAGTGGAGTGGAGTACTTTATAAAGGACGGGAGGGACCAAAGAGAGTCATGGTATGAAGAATCTTGGCGGATAAGACGAGGAAAATGCTCGTGCCAGTTTTTTTTTCTTTTTTGCAAGTACGTTTATTGGAAATATCTCAATTTTTCGAATTTACTAACAACAAATGATATGTAGATTCTAAACAAGCTAAAACTTATTTTTTTATTTTTTGCTACATAATGTCAAACATGGTTTTGGAATTCTATTCTGTAATCTGAGTGTAACATCTTTCCATCGCCTTTCATTATTCGTTCTCAGTAAAATGGTACGATGGCCCACTCTATTTTAAAAACGTAGTTATAGCATCCAATTTATGTCAGTTTTTGGTGAAAATTGAGCGTGATGCTATTTTGTTATGTTAATCAGAACCGAAGTCGCTGTTACAGTATTCAGGTATTGTCAATTTTGTATGCAGAAATGGCAATAAGCATCACATAAATTTGAGAAAAAGTGTCTGCAAAAAATGAATTTATCGATTTTTTGGGGGGGCTATCGATATGTAGGCAAATTGTACGGCTTATTCCCCCTGTTATAATTGTTTTAAAAAAACTCCTTAAATTGTCGCCCGGAATTAAAGCCCCCCCCCCCCCCCACAAACACACACAAACACACAGGAAAAAAGTATGAATTGACGACCTTCACCTTTGACGATTTGAGCTAAAATAAATAGTGGTCTTCCTTATGCTTCCTTAGGGCATACGAAGTTCTGGTATAAAATGTCATACTGACATAGCAAAAGCTCAAAGGCCTCTCAAAATATTGTGCTGAAACGAAAGTGTTACAACAGAAAGAATTTTCTTTAATTAATTATAACCTTGACGTTTAAACATTAATTTTGACCTCAAATTCAATTGAGATTTTCCTTAGTTATTGTGTAAAATTTCAAAGCAAAAGCTATAAGTCTTCTTTAGATAATGCGTAACATGCAGACAGAACTATACAGACATCTAGGTGAACGGGCAGACAGACTGAAATTAATAACACCCCCCCCCCTCATTTTCAACAGGGGACAATAACTGTACCTTTCATAAATCTTGGCCGGTCCAAATGACGGAGTCCGGAGATCATTTCCGTTTTTCGGTCTGATGAAATGCCTCCCACCTCAGGGGCGTAGTATCCGGGGGGCCAGGGGGGGCCTGGCCCCCCCCCCACTTTTTTTCCCAACCTTACATACACTATAGGAAATGTTAATTCAAAACCTGTTTGCCCCCCCCCCCCCCCCCCCCCCCCCCCCCCCCCCCCCCCCCCCCACGAAAATAGGATTTTCGACTTTGGGCAACTTTTACCTTTTTTTTTTTTTTGCTTGTCAACTTTTTCAGGTAAGTAAAAAAATTTTTTTCTCTGCCTGGCCCCCCCACTTTCAAAAACGATGCTACGCCACTGCACCAATAGTCGATCATTAACACTGTCATAGCATAAGCTATTGAGTTTCCTTCCGTAGATGTTTGTATTTTCTGGTACGGTCACTTTCAACAATTTACCATTTTCGTCTCGTATTACTACAGAATTATTCCTGCAAACCAGGATGTAAAAATTGTTTGAAAGTGCGTCTGTGCAAACGGTATGGAATATCTCAGATCCCTTACCACAGGATTTTTTTGAAAAAGAAAACCGATAATTTCCCTTAAAGTCCGTCACAACTACTTTATTTTTTACTCGATCGGACACTATTATGTCCCCATTTTGATTTTCTGTAACGTACACTGGATGAGAGTATAAGTTTCCGCCTTTGTCATTTTGTTGAATGGTAAATACTTCATTTCCAAGTGAGTTATATATTGTTATTCTCCCTACACGGTTGTTGAGTGTTGTACCAACAAGTAATTCGTTAGTGGCTAATGATGAAAAGAGACACTCTGTTTTCCATTCTGGTGGATTTTTCAAAGATAACACTTTAGTAGTTAGATCTTTTGAGATCTTGACGATATTCTCTTTTTCGTCAATATATAAAAGATCCTGCTTGCTATTTACTGTGTGTGTACCGTATCCATTTCTTTTGATATCCATTATTTCGAGTTCTTTTTTCTCATCTACTAGATTTAACAAAGTCTGGCTGTCACGATATTCTCTTTTTCGTCAATATATAAAAGATCCTGCTTGCTATTTACTGTGTGTGTACCGTATCCGTTTCTTTTGATATCCATTATTTCGAGTTCTTTTTTCTCATCTACTAGATTTAACAAAGTCTGGCTGTCACTAAACCATACTGAGTATGTATTTATATAAGACATATGACAACCCACTATTGATTGTGCAATATTAATTTCCATAAAAGGACTTAAATTGCATCTGGAAGCAACTTCCAAGGAATGTTCAATCAGTGGCTTTCGTTTTTCGGTTTTTGCGTATAGATGTCCATTCAAACGATAGAGGAAATTCATCACACTATCATAGAAACTGAAAATTTTGAGAAATCACGAATTTTAAGGTGTAGAGACTGTGAGAAAATGCATTGATTATATTTAAGGAAATGCATAAATTTTACCGGATAATTAGCCGCCGCCTCAAAATAACTGACATTTTGTTCTAAAATTTTGCAATGTGTTACAAGCTTCCGGTTTTGTCTGATAATTTTTTGACATTTCAATGTTTCATAAATCAGAATTCTTTGCCTTTCTTCGTTTTGTAATTTTAAATTCAGGATCTTCGAGGAAATGGATTTTACATCTTCCTCAACTGCATGCTTTACTGCCAAGCTCTCTGGAAGCATGTCACTTCGTATTTCTTTTATTTGAAGTTTTGTTTCTTCTCTCCGTCTTCTGTATTCTTCTTCAATGTCTGCAAGGATGTGTCCATTGTGGTCAGTACACATTTCACAGACCGGAATATTACATGTATAACACCAATGTACATGTACATATGTCTGATCTGAATCATCAGAATGTAATTCACATGTAGTTTTTGTCAAAACCCTACTTCGTTCGATGTACAATGTCACATCGTGATGTTTGCTATCAAGATTCATAACATGTATTTCTTTGCATGGCTGGCAGAATTGACGTCTACACGTGTTGCAACGGTAGTCTCCAAATTTACTACAATTCGTTTTACACCATGAATCATCCCTGAATATGAAAAAAAAACGGGAAATTGTATCACTATTATTTCTTAAACAATTGATTGATACAATATCAAGGCATTTTAAGGAGGTTTGATCCTGAGCTTTTGATCAAGCAGACTTTGGACTGGACCTGTATTTCTAAAATTCTGCATCATTTTTAAGTTCTTACATTTAATCTAGATTCTACGATGCAAAGTGAACTATATTCAATGAAAAAAAAAACCCAATCTCTAATTAAAATTAGATCTTTTATCCGCTCCAGTTTGATCGCTACACATTTTGTGTAGCGATCAAAGTAGCTGCAGAACTGCAGCTCTCCGAAAAACATATTGACAGACCGGAGAGATACAGAGCCACCCATTGAAAAAAAATTGTATATTGCAATTGCACACAAAAGTGAGCTGTTTCTCGAATTTTTTCTCCATGTCTTTTTTAAAAAACTGTCAAATCAATATTAAGCTGCAGAACTGTAGCTCTCCGGAAAAAAATATATTGACAGACCGGAGAGCTACAGTGCCATCCATTGAAAAAATTGTATATTTATTGCGCACAAAAAATTGCGCTTGGTTCAGGGTTAATTATTTCTAATTCTTACCTTAATTGCAAAAAATCTAAATTTCAAACAAATTCTTTACTTTCCTATCAAGTACTCTCGTAGTCGACATCTTGCAAACAAAAATGGCAGTATGAATAGACAAAATAGTATATTTTTTCAGAGAGCTACAGTTCTGCAGCTAACCAATATATTACTAACCGTGTGTTCCCATTATTTTTTTCACTGTTTCCACAACAAAACATTCCAAGTAACAGGTGTTAACCCCACCCCCACCTCCCGGTCATCGAAATTTTTGCCCATTTATACTTCCATTTTGGTTTGATTCGGTCCAACGCGCTTCATACAGATGTCAACTATACAAGAGTACTAGATACTAGTAGATGAGTAAGGAATATTTTGAAATGTAGCTTTTTTTGCGATTGACATAAGAATCCAGAACATAGCGCATTTTTGTGTGCGCAATAAATATACATTTTTTTTAAAGGTGGCACTGTAGCTCTCCGGTCTGTCAATATATTTTTTTCGGAGAGCTACAGTTCTGCAACTACGATCAAAGTGGATCTTGTTTGTTCCATTTTATTTTATACTTCTGCCTGTATAGACCCTTTACATAGTTGTACAATAGTCGTCTGACCGGCAAGCATTTGGGCCTTTCAAATTTTGTCTTCAAATAATTATATTCGTATTGTTAATGCTATACTACTTTATTTTAGTATTTGAACATTGCATAGAATTGCTGTTTTAAAACGAATTAAACAATAATTTATATATATTTAAAAAGAAAGTAAAAATATATTTTTATACGTTCAAAAATACTCTTTTCTATGTTAACTAAATCAGTATCAGTTTGTCTGATATCAGAGTATGAATTAGTTTGGCTGATATCAAAGTATAAATTATACTCACGAAATTCCGGCCATGTCGAACTTGTTCTCGAATGTCACCTTTCCATTTCTGCGTATTTTTAGGGGCATGATGGTGGAAGCACTATCTGCTGTCGCCTTCAATATACGTTATGAATTTTCTTTCATATTGATTCCCAGTATTGGAAGAAATTGATTACATAATCAAACTATTAAAGTTGTATGCCGCTATTTTTCATCGTCTCAAGCCACGGTCCGGAGTCCGCATATAGCTCTCTCCTGCGGCCTGAATGGGAGAGGATTGTACATTTTGGCCGTGGTTTGCGACGATACTATTTTATACAAAATGCATGTATTAATGCTTACTTCTTATTTAATGTCTTTTCAACACAATTAAGTATTATGTATTATAGATAAGTCTCCTAAATTTAGATTGCAATGAAAAGGGAGGGAAAAATCAATCACCCTTTATGATGAGTGAAAAAACAGAAACGCTGTCTATAATGCAAGTCATTCATGTTTTTCCTTTGAATTAAAAAGTAAAGATACATTATCGATCTTTTAAAAACTTATTTTACAAAACGCCAGATGATTCTTGTGAAAGTATTGAGGCTTTTGCATTCAAAAAAAAATCATTTAAAAGTCGAAGCCAAGCGACGGGGAACTAGGAATTACCAAATAATGAAAAAGGTTATTTAAACCAGAAGTCTCTGTCGAGACTGTAGCTCTACTGGTTTGTACTGATCAAAAACCGATGCACAGAATTATGTATCTTAGTGTAGTCTACTTGTGTGATAAGTTATATTGAAATCAGACCAAAACTGTAGAAGGAGTAGCATTTTAAAGGAATTCCACAGAAAATTCTATTTTTAGTAACCATGGCAACACCGTTCATTGAAATCAAAAACCGATGCACTATTTTATGTAAATTAGTGTAGTTTACTTATGTGCCAAGTGATAATGAAATGAGACCAAAACTGTAGAAGGAGTAGCGTTTTAAAGGAATTTCACAGAAAATTCTACTTTTAGTAACATTGCAACACCGCTCATCGAAATCAAAAACCGATGCACTATTTTATGTATCTTAGTGTAGTCTACTTGTGTGCCAAGTGATATTGAAATGAGACTAAAACTGTAGAAGGAGTAGCGTTTTATAGGAATTTCTCAGAAAATTCTATTTTTAGTAACCATGGCAACATCGTTCATCGAAATCAAAAACCGATGCATTATTTTATGTATCTTAGTGTTGTCTACTTCTGTGCCAAGTAATACTGAAATCAGACCAAAACTGTAGAAGGAGTAGCGTTTTAAAGGAATTTCGCAGAAAATTCTATTTTTAGTAACCATGGCAACACCGTTCATCGAAATCAAAAACCGATGCACTATTTTATGTATCTTAGTGTAGTCTACCTGTGTGCTAAGTAATATTGAAATCAGACTAAAATTGTAGGAGGAGTAGCGTTTTGAAAAATTGTTTACAGACAGACGGACGGACGCCGGACGCATTACTATCGCATAAGCTCTTCTGGTCTCTGACCAGTAGAGCTAAAAAATGATCCTTGCCACCCATCAAAATAAAAACCTATGCACAGAATTATGTATCTTAGTATAGTCTACTTGTGTGCCAAGTTATATTGAAATCGGACCAAAAGTGTAGGAGGAGTAGCATTTTGAAAGAATTTCACAGAAATTTTTATTTTTAGTAACCATGGCAACACCCGTTCATCAAAATCAAAAACCAATGCACAGAATTATGTATCTTAGTGTAGTCTACTTATGTGCCAAGATCAAAATCAAAAACCAATGCACAGAATTATGTATGACCAGTAGAGCTAAAAAATGATCCTTGCCACTCATCAAAATAAAAACCTATGCACAGAATTATGTATCTTAGTATAGTCTACTTGTGTGCCAAGTTATACTGAAATCAGACCAAAACTGCAGGAGGAGTAGCATTTTGAAAGAATTTCACAGAAATTTCTATTTTTAGTAACCATGGCAACATTGTTCATTGAAATCAAAAACCGATGCACAGAATTATGTATCTTAGTGTAGTCTACTTGTATGCCAAGCTATATCAAAATCAGACCAAAACTGTAGGAGGAGTAGCATTTTGAAAGAATTTCACAGAAATTTCTATTTTTAGTAACCACGGCAACACCGTTTATCGAAATCAAAAACCGATGCACAGAATTATGTATCTTAGTGTAGTCTACTTGTGTGCCAAGTTATACTGAAATCGGACCAAATCTGTAGGAGGAGTAGCATTTTGAAAGATTTCAAAGAAATTTCTATTTTTAGTAACCAAGGCAACACCGTTCATCGAAATCAAAAACCGATGCACAGAATTATGTATTTTAGTGTAGTCTACTTGTGTGCCAAGTAATATTGAAATTGGACCAAAACTGTAGGAGGAGTAGCATTTTGAAAGAATTTCACAGAAATTTCTATTTTTAGTAACCACGGCAAC